TTTAGTTAGCATGGCCAAATATGTCTAACTATTATCTTGGAATATGTAATTTACAATCATAATTTACTAAACAATTAAGAAATTATAATTATAATTTAATTTTAATGTAACATGGTTGACATCACTTTAAACCATTTAGGGATATCAATCAATTAAAATCAAGTCAAATTCATACACTATGATTTTCTAGTTCAACTAGGTGTTGTAATGAAATAGTTTCTTGTTAATTAGAAATTCTAAACAATTTAGAAGGTCCAAATCATTTTGGATTTTATATGAAATCTTATTTCTCAAACCCAAACTATTTAGGAATCCAAATTCAATAAGAAATAGCACCAATCTAGGGCTTGGCCAAAAACCCATCCAAGAAAAAAAGCAAGTTGCGACTAAGGTTGTTTTTATGAAAACTAGGTAGTTTTGCCCATCTTTTGCTATGCTGCCCTGACTAGCCACCATCCAAGAGTTCTAAATTCTTTCCCATGGTTTCTTGATTCTTGAATCATAAGTAACAATTACTTTGACTTTTATAAAAATAATCCATTAAACTTAGTGATAAAGAAAGCAAATCTTGAAATCTTGATGAACAAGTTTTCTAAGATTTTCAATATTAATTACCTAGTAGATTTTCCATAAAATCTTAGTGAGAAAGTTTTTAAAGTCTATTAGCTTTTAAGAATACCAGCTGCATCAAGAAAATCAATTACCATATTCATATTAGGGCAACCATACATCATATGCATATTTTACATACCCAGCCACCACTAGTAGATTTTTAGGCTGAATTTGTCATCAACTTTTGAATAACCAAATCAACTCAAAAAATTCTGAAATTTTTATGCAATGATTATCATTATGTCTATTTTCATGTATTAAAATTTTGTAGCCAAATAATATCCCTAGAATGAGAAACAATTTTTATAATACCACTACCATAGAATTGAGCATGCAAATGATATCCATAAATCATAAAATTTAATCCCAATCATCCTAAGACATCATGCTTTAATATTATAAAAGAATCCAATAAAAATAATAATAAAAAATTTAATTTTTCAGCCTTTACATTACAATAATAGATTGCAATCAAAACAATTTTGATATCATAAATAACCAAACAAACTTTTAATTTGTATAGTCTATATTGACAAGGCTCTGATACCACTTGAAAGGAATTATATATCATTATCAAAGTTAAAGCAATGAAATTTTTAAAATTTTAATTTCTTAAAGCTAAGATCAATCAATAAGATTATACAAGCAATATACATATACAAGCAAGCATAGTTTTGGCTAAAAGTGTTACCTTTGAATGCTGAAAATCTCTTGGTTCAATTTGGTGATCTTTAAAATAGATTCTAAGCCAAGAAGTTGCCCAAGTGTTCAGCATCTAATGATGATCCACACGAACTATTGTGAAATAGCCTTTTCTAAGGTTTGGTGAATTTACACTATAGCTAGTAAGTGTTTGCAAGACCTCTTATATTTTATTAAGTAAAACTTTATTTTCTTTTTCTTCTTTCTTGTTCCAAGGGGGAACAGCTTGATGTTCTTTTTATAGAAAAAGCATTTGGCTACGTTAGGTTTAATGCTTGGCTATGTTAGGTTTAATGCTTGCAATATAAATTTTCACAATTAACCTTATACTAGCCGAATGTCCCAAATAAATGAAACTATTTCTTTTGTTTTTATTTCCTCTAGTTTTGGTCATATGAATCAAATTAAGTCCAACTTAATTTGTCTCAATTTTAAGCTTTCACAATTGTCATATTGCATGTAACCCATTAGGTTCTTTAGCATGTTGGCAATAAACACAAGCATTGTAAACGTTAGTATTCGATTATAGATAAAATAAACTTTTTATCTTCATTACCAATTCTCTAATTAGCCAACCTTATGTTTATAGATCATGATCAATGCTATTGCTAAAGAAAAGTAAATATGACTTGATAACCTATTTATGAAATGTTTTAGTGTATAATTAATATCCTTTCATCACATAGTATCTCAGTCTGAACACTGAGTATGGTTTAGACTTACTCAACCATGTTAACTTTTATCCTTAACATTAACTCACAAATGAGCTTTAGAACAATTCTAAACTTTTATTTTACTTTGGTCAAAGATTTTTTAAGTTAATTCAATCAAGCTTAGTTAAGATACTCTCTTGATCACACAAGGTAATGAATCCCATCTTGATTACTTCATGCATTTTGGTATGCCTCGTGTTATACTCAACAATACTTGATTGAAGTATTTTTTGTTAGAACCATAAGTAAAGAAAAGTCAAAGTTTAACTTCATCATATAGGATCATGAATAATCCTAAGTCAAATAATCACTTATATAACTATCACATGAGAATGTAGCTTTAGACACTATATGAACTACCATATAACATTCTCATATCGGATCATGTTCAGTGAATTGGTTCTCGTAACAAGCACCAACATGTTAACTCAAGCTTACTTAAACTTTAACTTATGAGTTCGACTACTTGCTTCATAAGTAAGAGCATAATCATGTGCTAGTCTCAACAACTTTTGTTAATATTCTCTTATTGATAAAGCATTGACTAAAAATAATTTTAGAACATATAGCTTTTATGCAATGATGATCTCATGATTACAATCTTATCGTAATTCCCTTGTAAAACTTTATTCATATTTTGAGGACTTTTATCATATAAGCATTAACATTGAAATATATGTATATAAGTTTAATGATAAAAAAATAAGATCTTTGTGAAAGCTTAAAATTGAGACAATCAACTATCCCTTTAAGCCAATCAACTTAAAATTTTAAGCTTTCACAATCTTAGCCAAAATATAAATTGGCTTAAAAGGCACATACCAATACAGCCTTCTTAGCGAAGCCCAACTCACTAGTAATCAATCTTTTTACAAAATACTGTTTCTAAGCTAAATTATAACATTTATAATCCCTTTCTTTTAAAGGTTAAGATAACGGCCTCTATCGCTTTAAGGATTCTACCTAATCCTTAAAGCAAACAACTTAAGAGGGCGCCTTGCCCTTGATTTACAAATCCACTTTCAATATAAAGGCTTTTGCAAACTAATGAAACATCTAATAAGCAAGTGTTTGCAAAGCTTAAGTGCAATCATAAAGATACAAATAAAGACTGGTTACAAGATTTACTAAGGGATATGGAATTAAAGCATTATAGACTTGAAAGCTCTTGAATTTCTTGATTTTGTGCTCTTGAAATCTTTTTTCATATGTTCAAAGGCGATGGTGAGGCTTTACTTATAATGGGAAAGCCATTGGAGTTAATTGGGAGGTGAAAAGAGCCATTATTTGTTTTAAAAAACTAGCCCTTCAATTTAAATTTAAAAAATATAGTTGTTGAAAGCTAGTTGATAAATTTTTTACCAAAATTGATCAATACTACTTACGCAGTACTTACTAAATTGACCATTTCTTAATTTACAGAACTTAGAATTATAATCCATTTGAAAATTTAGAAACTAGATTTAATGGGCTATTCATATAAAGTTCAACATGTGAATAAATGTATAAAAATGTAGTAAAATTTCAAAACTACTCTTTTCATAGTTATCAAACAATTTGCACAATCTTTAGTAAAAATGAAATATCTTCACTTAGAAAACTCATATTTCAATTTTGTTTGCTCCATTAGAAAGTAAATTCAATTAGCTTTCTACTAATAAATAACTCAAATAGTGAAACTTTATAAATTAATACATAAATTAAAGCAAAGTAACTATAGTAAAACCTTACTTTTATAAAACAACTTTCTCTAATTAATACATTTTTTAAAACTAATAGAATCAAAACTATATTGAGTCCAAGATAAATAAATTTACTTTAAAACAACAATTAAACTTTTAAGTAAGCTTAAATAAATCATTTTTAACAAGTATTTTTGGTTTGAGAAATACAAAAAAAATCTTCTCATTCTTCCTCTTTTTCCTTCTTTTCTTAACTTTTTTACATTTTTTAAAATATTTATGATTCAAAATGTTTATAATAAATAAGAGAATATTATAATTTATCAATATATACTTTCTTTTCAAACAGCTTTCTATTATTTAAAAATTAAAGAAAAACAATTTTCCTAGCTAATCACATATTATGTTTGTTGTTTAGGGCAATAGATAAGATAAGAAAATAATCATTTAATCCCATATGTACACTCAGATGCAAAGAAGATTTGCCATCCTTCTATAAAATCACTTAATCTTCCCTCAAAATGAAAGGATTATTTTTTTTTAATCTCATGAGAATGGATGGTAAATACTAGTTGCTTTTCTCCTGAAACTCGTATATAAAAGTTGCCTTAAGATAATTATAAAATAACATATAAAATTATTTGATTGGGTAGCCCTAAATACTATTTTTTTTTTCTTTTTCTCATGTTTCCACACTTTTTTCTTTCCCTCTTTTAATTTTTCCTCCTTCCACTTTCCCTCCATCCGTGGCCAAGTTTCACGCCAATGAAAGGCTAACCACTCTCTTCATTTAACACAACTAACAATTGACAAAATTGGAGCTCTAGATGCCAGATTGACAGTGGGCAATATAAGCGACAGAATCTAGCGCCTCACGCGAGTTGAGGCCCTTCGCCTTCTCACGCCAACAACAATCTTGATTACCATGATAGAGTGGCAAGGCGCAGATCCAACCCTCGGTGTTTGATGAGTGCCTTCGGGTGAGGTGGGAAGAAAAGAAAAAGTGAAAGAAAAAAATTTAAAGAAAATATGGATAAAATTATTTCCTTTGAAAAAGTTAAATATAATTATATAGATTTAAATTATATAATTTTGTTCACAAAAATTAAATAATATAATAAGCATAAAATTATAAACCTCAATTACATATATTTTTAAGAAAAAATTTTGATTATTGAAAAAAAAAATCATCCTATATATCCTTCTATTTTTTTACGTACTAAGCATGGTATATAAGATATAAAAAAAATGTCATCTTATCCTTAAACATTATATAACCAATGCACTTATCTTATTTTATCCTTATTCATCATAATTTTATGCACCGTGCATAAACACAAAAATAATACTATTAGTATGGTTTAATATTATCATGACAATGATAACAAACATTTTGACTAAAATTACAGAAAATTAATTGATATCAATAAAAAAGGGCATCCAATGAAGGTAGAAACACATGAATGAAGACAAACCCTATCAGTCGAGCTAAAAAAACAAGATTGATCTTATATGGTACCGGCAACATGGGGCTTTTGATTTGGTGATGAATTAAACGTCTCCGTCTCTACTACACTCGGGAGGCATGGTAGGGTATCTCACCCGATCGGTGCAATAATTGTAAATGGTGAACTTGTTGCGGACCCAGCGGAGCCTCTTCCATTGATAGGAATCAAGGTCCTGGAACTCCTTCTGGTCCCACCACCGCTTGCCCTGTGTGGCACAGAACTTGGATTCCACGGAGGACTCACACCCATCAATGTAGAAGCCCTTGTAGGCGGCTATAAAAGGAGCCTTGGACCAGTCGGTCTTCTCAAGCCCACCCCTGGTGGCCCAGTCATCCGCGTTCCACAGGCTCGAGTATATCTTCATTGGCTGGTTGAATGGGAATCTCGCCCCCAAATCTTTGCAGTTTTTAAACACTCTGATTGGTACGTCGTCCACAAAGAATCTGTCCATAGTTTTCAAACACTGCTATATTTAGAATGAAAAATTACCAAACTTGAGTTTGCGTTAACAGGGTGTTTGATTTGATTTGTGATAAAGTTTGTTCACTTAAATTAATGAATCGCTTTATTTCAAAAAAAAAAATAATAATAATCCCTATGATAAGATTGCTGGAACATGTCATTCTATCAACTCAAATACACAAGAAAGTTATAATGCAGTTAGTGGGTTCATGTTACCATATTCATGAAGTGACATTTAATAAGCAAAAAAGTGTGAGGTTAAATTTTAATGTCCTCAATCTCTTTTATCTCACAATAGAGTATCTTTTGTAAAAAAAAAAATACTATAGAAAGTTGAAAGCAAATAGATGTAGAAACTACTAATCATAGATTTATGCATGATTATATTCTAGTAAATAAAAAGTCAAAACTGAAAGGGTTCGGAGATTTGGGCGGTTTGAAGATGATAGTAAACAGGACACTCACACGATCTGATACATGTTCCACAGAACAGAGTAAGAGTGGTACTCTTCGGTCGGGTCAAACCAAAGATAAACCCTCTGTTCTCTGTCTCCCTTTCCACCTGTGAACACATTCGTCTGCAGAATGTATGGCTGGCCTGTCCTGTTTCCCAGGAACTCAAAATCTATCTCATCATGCTCCGAATTTTGAGAAGATAACTGCAACAGATCAAATAATAAATGCTAAGCACAGTAAAACAATAGTCGAATAGTTGTATTTATTGGTTGGATTGGAAAAGAAAAGCCTTCAAATAAATGAACCAAAAAATTCTGCTTCATTTGCATAGAAGGCACTAACAGTCTCAGCAGTCGGACAGCAATTTTACTCACATAGAACGCAGTAACAGTTCCAGCAGAATCTTCAGGAACTAGCTTCATTTGCATACTGAAATGGCCAAACAGGTAAGATCCTTTTGACTGGAAACCAGTTCCTTTCATAAAAGAACATATATTAAGATATTATAGGAGGATAGAAACATCAGGTATTATAATTTTATGGGAAGAGAAGACTCAAAGAGTAGTTGATTGTATTTATACCAGTGTATTTGTCAAGGTGCAGCTGAATCTCGGAGCCTCCATTATAGTACTTAATGTGATCAAAAGCCCAAGTAGGCATATAGTTTCTCCCGAATGGGACCGCTACAGGCCTCTTAGGGGGAGTTCCTATTGTTCCAGAGACCATAAACAAGATACCCAGCAACAGAATCCAAAGTGTTGAAGGCATATTTCTGTGCAGCATGAATCTAACATTTAGAAACCACAATAACGAAAGGGAAAGAAAAACGCTTGTCTAACAGGAACAAATGGCAGAAACAAACTTTGAAAACTCTCAAAGGTTCTAGAGCATTACCAGAGAGAGAGAGAGAAGAATGAAGAATTACCATTTAGAAGGAGGGGTGAGGCTTTGTGTAGGGTTTGATTTCAATGTAGAAATTGCATTCTACTCTGATAATTGTTGGTTTTAATGTGAATTTCACTTTAACCAAGGAGACCAAAAAGACATCACAATTTTTACTTTTGTCTACTATTTATAATAATAGAAATGTTAGTACAGCCAATATATTAATCTAATCTATATGCCTACATCTGAGGCGGTTGTGGGGTAGGCCAAGATTTTAAAATCTAGTAGCATTTGAAAACATGTTGGAAGTTGAAACATCGATGCTCGTGTGCTTGCTATTGTGGTCATGGAGATGCGTAGTCTGCAAATGTTGGCAAGTTACTGATCCATTTTCACTTTTTTTTTTTCTTTTATAATAGGTCATGCGGCCATGATTATTCGAAAAATTTGCTTCAGGTCAAATTATCTCATACATTTTTGTACTATTAAAAGATTAAAATTTAATCCTTTTTATTATAATTTTTATAAATTTAATTTTTTTATTATTTTAATTTAATAATTACAATCCAGTCACAAATATCATTAAAATTTTTTTATTAAAATTGTTAACATGGCGAGTGAGTGAGTGATGTGTAAATTGATTTACTAGATGTGATATATTAATTTGTTGAAATTATTTCTAGCGATGACTTGAACTTTAAAATACCATTTGGCATGACAATTAATGTCATGTCAAATTTTTAAAAAATTTTAAATTAAATAGTTTTATTTATTTTTTAACTATTAAAAAAGTATGAAATTGAAAAAATAAAACAAAAACAAATTAAAAATCACACACATAGCAACCACTAAACTTAGACACCCAGTGGCCAGAAAATTCATGCTTTCATAGTAACCAACAAATATCGTAGATCCCGTTGATGCTCCCCGCCGGTGAACTCTAGTCATCAGTGATAGAAAAAATCCCCAAAAAAAAAATTATTTATTGTGTCTTTTTACAATTCTAACTAAGTCGATCTTTTCAAAATATATCCCGAAAAGCCTATATCTAATATTTGACCCGTGATTTAAATCTCCAAAAAAAGAAAAAAACTGTGGGCATTCCATCCTTCTCACCTCTCGATATGTGCTTGTGTCACGGGTTGAGACTTAAACTTCGAATCAACGCGATTTTGAGATTCGAGCATTCACTCTTCCGATCTCCCAGATCAACCTAACCACCACGATTCACATCTTTGTGAGGTATTATCCGCTTTGACCTCCTGGCCTCACGATTTTATCTTACAAAAGGCGCCTCACAAGATGAAGATGGTGTGAACCCTTTTATACCCAAGTGACCTTCCTATTATGTTTGATGTGGGATTCAGGACTCCCCTTAGGTCCGTGACATTCTCTTGCACTCAACCTCGTGACGTCTTCGTCACGGAGGCTGACCACCCTGCCTACCTCCCTCGAGGTACTTGACGTGGATCGAACGGTTTAGGGCTGACTCTGATACCACTTGTCACGGGTCGAGACTTAAGCTCCGAACCCGCGCGGCTTTGGGACCCGGGCATTCACCCTTCCGGCGTCCCGGATCAGCCTAATCGTCACGGTTCACACCCTTATGAGGTATTGTCTGTTTTGGTTCCCTAGCCTCACGGTTTTGTCCTACAAAAGGCGCCTCACAAGACGGAGATGTTGTGAACCCTTTTATACCCTAGTGACCTTCCTATTATGTTTGATGTGAGATTCAAGACTTCCCCTTAGGTCCGTGACACTTGCCTTTGCCTATTTTTTCTTTCTATCAAATTTAAATCCCTAAATCCTTTTGAATTCCCTAAACCGAAAGCTAGAAAATACTCTCAGCAAAAGTTTCCAGACAACAACACAACATCCAAATATTTTGAAAAAGAAAAAGCCACCCCAAGTCAGCTTCACAACATTTTCCTTCCACCAAATACTCAAACGAAGAATATAAATCAAGACCCAAAAATGGGTTGAATCATGGCCGGGCATTCCTCCACCCAGTACAAGTACAATCTATATATAAGAACATGATTAGCTAGCTTATGGGCTGCTTCATTGGTCTTGCGCTTAGCATGCTTAACTTTGACAGATCAAAAACTCTGTTGAAGATTTTGAGCTTCATCCAAGAAGTAGCCAACATCAGACAAATCTTTCCCCTGCTTGTTCAGTGCATTGGTTATTCGTAATGCATCACCCTCTAATGTGACTGTTTAGAGTCCCAGGTCCTTGACAAAATCTAGTGCCCTTACCGCTGCAAATGTTTTTGTTACAAGAGGGTCCTTAACTCCCTCTAATATGGTGGATGATGCTCTAACTACAATAACAACACTTCTTTGTATCACGACCCCTAAACCTCTTATCCCATCTGTTGCATTTAATGCACCATCAAAATTAACTTTAACCATATCTCCTGGTGAAGCAACCCAGTTCCCAGTGTCATTAGATGTCATACCTACAACAATTTCTTGTGTCTTCTTGAAGTCCTTAATATATTCGGTAGCAAACTGTGCAGCAGCTTGTGGGGTGTTTCTTTCGTTGTTTTTTACAAACAAATTTCTTTTATGCCATATAGCCCAGCAAATCACCAAACCTTTCTCGACGTTATCGTGGTCCACCACATCTGCTATTTTGGCAAGCCAACTCTCGTCTGCATCAAGAGCAATCTCAGTCCATTTTCTGTCAACTCCGACCATTTCCCATGTTTGTTTTGCTTCCCTACATTCCTTAATTGCATGCAACATGGTCTCATATTGCTTTTTACATCTTGGGCATAAAGTTTGAACTTAAATACCTCGTTTTATGAGGTTACTATAACTTGGTAATATACCGTGGTTTAACCTCCATCCAAATATTTTCACTTTGTTAGGGACTCTTGCCTTCCATAACTTGGTCCGGAATATGCCATTGCATACAGTCCCTCTTGAGTCATTTTGTTGCTGTTCAGGTTGCGCACTTTGCGCCTTGCGTATAAACAACTTGTAAGCACTCCTCAAGGGTGTAGCTACCTGTTGTGTCTTCTCCCCACACTATCCTCATTTTCCATTCGACTTAATGGTATGCTGCATATTGTGTCCGCCTTATCTCTATCAAAGTTACTGTGCACTATGTCCATCTTCCGCCTCATTGTTTAGTGGTCACTGAGCGTTGATACACAAGCAACCTTTCTTAAGTTGCTATGCCTGTCTTCATAGACTAATTTCGTATTTGTTGGCAACCATCGATCATGCCAAATATTTACCTTGGTCCCATCTCCAATCCTCCAGCGTCGTTCTAGAGCTAGCTCATTTTTAGCTGTCCAAATGCTCCGCCAAGTGTACGAGGGATTTGACCCAAGGGATGATTTTAAAAAGGTTGTGTTGGGAAAATATTTAGCCTTTAACACCTTATGCATCACTGTGTCCCCTTGCTTTAGCAGACGCCACCCTCGTTTCACAAGTAGTGCTTGGTTGAAGCTTTCCATGTCACAAAACCCCATGCCCCATTCCTTTTACTTTGGCATAGTTTCTTCCAATTCATCTAGTGCATGCCTCTTTTTCCAGCTTTTGCACTCCACCAGTAATTACTTACAAGGTTGTTTATCTTCTGGTCGAGTCTTTTCGGGTAAGGAAATAATTCATGGCATATGATGGTATGGCTTGAGGAATGGCTTTGATAAAAACCTCCTTTCCTCCTTAAGACAAACATTTAGGCCCCATTGTTCTATCTTTATCTTTATATGGTTATTTATGTCCCAGAAAGCTCTTTTTTTGCCTTTAGCCACCATTATTGGTAACCCTAAATATTTCTTAGGATTGTGAGTGACTTGGATTTCAAAAATCTGCTTGACACTCTCTTGACTAACTGCTATTGCATTTCAGCTGAAAAACAATAAAGACTTTTTCATATTTACTTGTTTGTCCCGAACTTTCTCCATGTCTCTTAATCACATGTTTCACCATCTCGCTTTCTTCTTATTGTGCTTTAAAGAAAAGCAAGCTGTTAACTGTGAAAAAAATGTAAATGATTCGAGGACCACTCCAACTAGCACATACACCATTTATCCATTCTTCACTTTGGTATCTAGTAAACAATGTTGAGAAAGCTTCTGTACATATCAAAAACAGTTATGGTGATAGGGGGTCTCCTTGCCTAAGACCTCTCCCTTGTCTGAAATTGTTAGTCAAAAAGCCATTAAAAATAACAGAATATGAGATTGAGGATATACATTTCATGATTAAACTAATCCACGGATTATGAAAACCAAGCTTCCCCATTATGGCTTCTAAAAAAGACCATTCCACCCTATCGTAGGCTTTGCTCATATCTAGTTTAATGGCTACAAGGCTATCATTTCCTCTCCTCTTCATCTTTAGGTATGCAGCAACTCATAGGCTATTAGTATGTTACCAGCAACCAGTCTACCTAGGACAAATACACTCTGATATTCACTAATACGGAAAGGTAGAACATGTTTAAACCTATTTACAAGGACTTTGGCATTATCTTCTAGAGGACATTATAGAGATTTATGGGTCAAAAGTTGTCATAGATCTAGGGTTTTTAATTTTTGGGATGAGGACAATATTTGTTTTTTTTTTTTTTTCAGTAATGATATCCCCTTCATTGTTCAGACAGGATAAACAAAAATCTGCCACATCCTCCCTTATTATGTGCCAATAAATTTGGTAAAAGATAGTAGACATACCATTGGTTCTGGAGCTTTCATTGGGTGTATTTGTTTAAAGGCCTCTCTGATCATTTTAGGTCGGAAATCTACAAGGAGACAAGTGTTTATCTCGTTTGTGACTCGAGCATCAACTACCTCTGGGATATCATCAAAATCGGATGGTCTATGAGATTCTTGATGTCAAAAGCCAATGCAGAAACATCCTAGAATCATGTATCAAACCTTAAAACTTTAAACTAACCAAAGCAACTCGAAAATTCCATGAAAATTTTACCCTTTGAAGAACAGAAAATGAAAAGACAGACCAGAAATCCTCTTTGGTAAGAAA